ATATTTAAAAAATAAAATTTATAATCCCAAACCTCAAAGGAAAAATGGATGATTTAGACCAATAGAAAAAATAAACAAACTGCTCCTATTTTCAAAATCAACTTTTCTATTTGTTGGTTAAGTTAAATAAAATGGAGAAAAAATTAATATTTAAGAAATAAAACATATAACCCCAACCGCTAAAAGAAAAAATGGATCTTTTAGACTTTCTTAAAGAAATCTATTTTTTTATTTGTTGGTTAAGTTAAACAAAATGAAGAAAAAATTAAACTTTAAAAAATATATAATTTAGTCTTAAACACTCGTGAAGAAATAGACTGCTATTAGCGAATAAAAAATATTCAAAATCCTCCTATTTAAGGAGGGAAACCACATTAGGTGGCTCATTTTTATAAAATTTTTAAAAAAATTTTTGGTGAGAAAATATAAATTAAAATTCAATTACATTTAGGCATCTTTTTATTAGTGTTTTGAGCAATGTTTATATAAATTCTTTTGATTTATTTTAACCAGAAATAAGGGCTGTCGTAACCACTGATGGTCCTGATATTTTTTCTCGACTTGCGTGACGTGTAGCAATTTTTATTTTTAACTAAAATTAAAAAAAAATTTCTTACATTCTTAACTTCTTTTCTAAGAATATGAACCTCAATTAAGGTAAAAATAATAAAAATTTTAAATTTTGAAGGTGTTTGAAATTTTTTCTTGAATTTTTGTACAATTTTTTTTACACTAATTACACAAAAAAAGCACTCTTAAAATCGTGATATCACCTTAAATGGTGGTTCATATTCTTCGTAATTTTATAAAGAATAAAACTTCCAAACCTCATTATAATCGGTAAATATTTGTTTAAGTTAGACTGCACGTAATCATAAAAAATGTGATTTTGAGAAAAACGCATTTAAAGTTTCAATTTATTTTTTTTGTTTAGCAGAAATTTTTTTCAAAGTCACAAAGAGTCATATAATAATAGAAAAAATAATAAAAAATTTCTAAATATATATACTTTAACAAAATGAAAAAAATAAAAATTAAATTTTTTGAAAGTTACAATTAGGTTTCCCCCCTTAAAGAAAGAAGTTTTTTTATTCGTTGGTTCAGTTAAACAAAATGGAGAAAATAATTAACTTTAAAATAAAATATAATATTTAGTCACACCCTCTAAAGGAAAAATTGATGCTTTAGGAAATACAGAAAAGATTGAAACACCTCCTTTGTAAAGAAGGCTATTTTTTTATTTGTTGGTTCAGTTGAAAAAATGGAACGAACCCACAAAGCACAGTATTTTTCTGCAAGTTTGCTGCAAGTTTTCCATGCAAAGTTCGCAAGTTTGCATCCAAGTTTGCAGCAAACTTGCATACAAATAAAAATGTCACCCTCTTGGCAAGTTTGCAATGAAAACTGGAGGAAAATTTGCAGCAAACTTTCTAAAATACCTAAAAAATTAAAAAAAAATTAAAAAATGTTTTTTTTCAAATTGTATATAATTATTTTGATGAACGAAGCCTTCCCTGTAGGGAAGGTGACTAAAATATAGTGCGCAGCTCTAGATGTCATAGTAAACTACTGCGCATACATTTAAGTTTTTGCTATTTGGCGCAAGTTTGCTGCAAACTTGCCAAGTGGGTGACATTTTTATATTTATGCAAGTTTGCTGCAAACTAGCAATGCAAACTTGCGAAATATGCATGGAAAACTTGCAGCAAACTTGCAGAAAATGTCTGTGCTTTGTGGGAATACTTATAATTTTAAGAATATAAAATTTAACCACAACCCTTTTGGAAAAAATAAGAGGATTTAAAATCTAATTTTTTAATGTTTAGTAGACTTATTTTTCTTTTGGGGGTTGGAATTACAAGATTTATTTCTTAAATATTTTTTTTCTCGATTTTTTGTTTAACTCAATCAACAAATAGAAAAATTGATTTTGAAATTAGAAGTTTGTTTATTATTTTTATTGGTCTAAATCATCCAATTTTTCTTTGGGGTTGGGATTATATGTTTTATTTTTTGAATATTAATGATTTTCTCCATTTTGTTTAAAACTAATAAATAAAATTTTTTTTAATAGGAGTTTGAATCCTTTTTTTAATTAACTAATAGCAGTCTATTTCTTCGTGAAGGGTTAAGACTAAATTTTATATTTTTTAAAGTTTAATATTTCTCCATTTTGTTCTATAGAACAGACGAATAAAAAATACCTTTCTTTAAGTAGGAGGAGTTTATATCTTATTCGAAATGGTATAAAGCATACATTTTTTCTTTGGGGGTTGGAATTACATGTTTTATTTCTTAAATATTATTTTTTCTCTATTTTTTGTTTAACTCAATCAACAAATAGAAAAGTTGATTTTGAAAATAGGAGGAGTTTGTTTATTTTTTTTATTGGTCTAAATCATCCATTTTTCCTTTGAGGGTTGGGATTGTTTTATTTTTTAAATATATTAATTTCTTCTCCATTTCGTTTAACTGAATCACCAAATAAAGTAATCGCTTTTTAAAAATAGGAGTACTAATGGACCCTGTAAAGACAATTCAAATTTACTAGATGTCAATGAAATATGTTTTGAACTGGAGTGCCAGCCGGCATTCTTATTCAAACAGTCATCCTAATGTACACAAAATTACTAACGAGTGTCCCAGAGGTTGTCGTAGAATTTACTCAGGAAAATGTAAATACATTTTTTAATTTTTCAAATTCCAAACTAAACCTTGGAATAGAAACCTCCGATTAATTTGCTTTCATAAAGAATTTTGGCGAAAAAAAGCTTAGGCGGTCCACTCAAGGTGACATTACCCTAATTATTGCTATTTAAGCTATAACCAAAGTGTGGAATTTGTGAAAAGTTTAAACCATGAATAGTAAGTTTTAGAGTTAAGACAAAAAAATATTTAAAAAAAGAATGTTGTCCCTTGTAAGTGTGATTATGCACAAAACTTGCCTCTGTCAAAGATTCCAGTGTCAGAACAATTTTATAAAAGATTGTTGTGGCTCTACCTATGTAATGCGCATATATTAAATGAAGTCGGCTGGTTTCACATGCCCTTAAATAGGATAGGAATTTAGTTTGTTGGAGAGTCAGTCGCGAAGGAAAAGTTAAACGTTGTTAACATTTTTTCCATCACTTTTGATAACCTTTGATATTTTTCACTTTTGATATTTTTCAGAAAACTTTTTTGTAGTATTCTGAACAACTTCTTCACTGTAAGTTTTTATTGCTTAAAATGCCCTCGATAAACGAAATGTTAAAAGATTGTGGTGTTGAAATTTAATCGTTATTTAATAAATATTTTTCAGTTTATTTATAAACAAACATATAAATTTTTACAACATATATTCTCGAAAAGGATAGTACATACATAGTTTATTCATACCAAATTTAATTGAAACATATACAAAATTGAACATTTGTCTGCTAGTTGAAAATAACATTATTTAATTAGAAATTAATTTAAAAAATAATCAGTTTTTAAAACTTATAAATTTTACAACTTTTTCTTAAAGGAAATTTTTTTTTAAAAATTTAAAGTTAGTTGAAATAGGAACAGAGATAGCAAGTTCGTTGCGAAATCAAAGAGGTTTGCTATATGACAGAGGTGTTCTTTATTTCAACCAAAATTCAGGATGTAGTTTTATCCACTAATCCAACTTACTTACAATTATTGTACTTTAGGAAATTAAACAATATGTTTTTTCATAATTTTTAAACTTACCATTGTGGTAATTTTTAAAAATCGTGGATTAAAATAAACAAAATAATTTAATTTTCTTTTTGGTCAGTTACAAAAAACTATAAAATTTAAATTATTGAACTTTATTGAAAAACACGTTTACATCCTAATAGAAGAACTCTTCTACTTCCATGTCGACAAATTTTGTCCTGTGCAGTTATCATCATACTATCTATGGTCCTCCTACATATTAACTCAAAAGTACCTTCTTTAGTCGCAGTTAACTCATAGGAATCTGGAGTACATGGCTGTCCATAGTTGTTAATTTGATAACAACTACCTTTAAATGGAACCATACCATCCAATGCACAAGGATTTTTTTCACATTTCGGATGACCTTTTCCCCGAGTAAATATTAAATATCTTCCTAGATGACAAGGACCTTGCCTATAAGGTTCATAACAAGAACCATTCGAGAATATAAAATCCTCATAACACTTACAGATATAGTTTGACGGATAATGCCTTGAATATAAATACGCATTTTGTGGACAGATTTTGTCTGAATTCTGACATTACAATTTGTAAAGATTTACAACATAAAACAGTAATAAAAACATTACATTAAAGATTAGAATTACAACCAAGAATTATTTATTTGAAAGAAATTAATTAAATGAAAGTAATTTAAAGATAGAAATAAGGCAGAGGGTTCATGAAAAGCATAAGGCTGGATTCAAAGAAGGAAGACAAGGGACCGTCCATAAATTACGTAACACGTTTTTAGTGAAATTTTGAACCCCCCCTCCCCCTATGTAACAAGTTGTAACAAAATCGTTTTACACCCCCCCCCCCCTCCTTATCAATGTTACGTAATTTTTAAAAATATGTTTTTACTAACGTTTTTCGAAACAAATTTGTTTATTACTGTTATTTTTAGTATTTATATCGTACAATAGCAATACAAAATTAAGTTAAATATAAAAAACATTTAGAGGAATAATTTTATTAATCATACTGAACAACCAAAAATATAACATTGATTTTTTAACAATAAAAATTGTATATTATTCCCAAGAATCGGTTCGCGAAATGATTCGATTTTTACTTATATTGAAGTGGCGGCAAGGGACAGCTTTTCAAAAATTTATCCATTATAAAGAGATTAAGTTCCTTATAAATATTACGTAACAATGATGATTGACCCCCCCCCCCCTCCCATGTAACATATGATAACATTTTCTCGAACCCCCCCCCTCCCCCTAAACGTGTTACGTAATTTATGGACAGCCCCCAAGCGAATTTATATATTGCTACTTCTTAGTTTATCAGCTAGAGAAAAACAGATCTCTGTATAGGTTTACTGAGTTCGAACAGATAAGGGTCAAGTATAATTGTTTTGTACTTAAGTACCTTCTGTATATTAATAGAGAACCCTCTTTCTTGCTCATTTTAGATTAGAATAGATTATTTAAAAATTAAAGTACTATTTTGTCTTTAATAAAAGTTACCTGATTATCATTTGTTCCTAAATACTTGGAGTTATCACATTGTATTTGAAAATTTTCACTAATTCCTAAATAAGTGTTATTATTACTGCATGGGTGTCCATATCTCCATAGATTGTAGCATTGTCCATTATAAGGAACAAGACCATCAATGCGACAAGGATTTTTTATACATTTTGCACTTATTTTTCCAGGCAGAAGTGCAAAATAATATCTAATCGTAACAATTTCCATCTTCAGTATTATATAATAGATCATCTATACAATCACAAAATTTTTTATACGCTTTTTCATTCTCTCCCCTGAAAAATGTCATATTCTTTGGACAATTTTGGTTATAACTCTGTACCCAGTAAAAAAGGATTTTTTAATATAGCATTTTGGACGATTGAGCAAGCCGTCTGCTCAATTGTCCAAACGGCATTTGGACAATTGGACTGGTTGCTCAATTATCCGATGCATTAAGTCCAATCATCCTAAATGTTTTTCGTGGCTAAAAAACTGCTGAATTAAGAAAAAAGAACTGAAATGTTACAGAAACTTTAGAGAATTCTTAATTCCAGATAAATACAGAAAAATTAGGTAAAAAAATACCTCGAGTGAGGAAAAAGAACAAGATTTCTAAAATATCACTTTTTAACTGACAGTGCAATGCTGTACTTGAAATTTAGTTGGCAAAGAAGTGAGGATTCTGATAAAGAGAAACACTTCATTATCCTCTCTCAATACTCCTCATGTGGTAATATGTATATTTGTTGATTTTCAATAATAGTGTATTAACAATAATATTTTATTTTGCTGAATTCTCTCTTTTTTAAAATGAGAAACCGAAATCTACAATATATTACCACATGAGGAGTATTGAGAGTGGATAATGAAGTGTTTCTCTTTATCAGAATCCTCACTTCTTTGCCAACTAAATTCCAAGTACAGCATTGCACTGTCACTTAAAAAGTGATATTTTAGAAATCTTGTTCTTTTTCCTCACTCGAGGTATTTTTTATACCTAATTTTTCTGTATTTGTCTGGAATTAAGAATTCTCTAAAGTTTCTGTAACATTTCAGTACATTTTTTCTTAATTCAGCAGTTTTTCAGCCACGAAAAACATTTGGGATCATTGGACCTAATGCATCGGATAATTGAGCAACCAGTCCAATTGTCCAAATGCCGTTTGGACAATCGAGCAGAGGGCTTGCTCAATCGTCCAAAATGCTATATTAAAAAATCCTTTTTTACTGGGTAAATGGTAAAATACTGGGCATTATTCTGATATTATATCGACTGCTACGTTTACTATGTAAACACATATACAACATCATTGGCCAGTTCTTATATTTGTAAGTACAGAAAAAAAACATATACAAGATGTTGCACAGGTGTATGCTTTCAGTACCTCCACATTAATACTTGACTCGTTTTCTGTCCCGAAATTGACATTCAGCTCTGCTACAGTCTAAAATAATTTTTAAAAAATATAGCGAATATGATTGGAGGTGATGGTCATATCGTTGTCAAGGAATTTGTATGATTTTTGGCTAAAAATGCATAAAAAGCAACTCTAGTTGTAGCGCACAAAAATTGCAAAATACTTTTTGAAGAAGATTGCTTTACTTTATATTGCTGCACATTACTTCTTAAGCACACTTTATTGTCAAAAGCATCCAGATTTTGCTGACAAAACAAATGAAATTTTTGTCACAACGTAAATTATATTTATAATTTTGCTCACATAATTAAGATTGAAGACAACGCAGAAAATCACTACATGGAAAATAGTTTCAAACAACATTTTCATTTTGACTTGACACTTAAAAGACAAATGTAATTGATATTAATTTCTAGTTATGGGCCTTCTTTAGTTGCTTGCTAGAGATTCAATCATAAACTGAAATCAATCTCTCTCTAGGTTAATTTATATTCTTTATTTACAAATACTTTTTCTGTTTATATCATTTAATCTGTTACGATATCAGTTATGTATAGTGAACTAAGCTTATTAAATATATCTATAGATATGTTGACCAGCAGATCTTAGCGGTCATTTTTATATTTATATTTTTGAAATTTTAATGATATAATAATTAGTTTTTATATACTTTTAATGAATAAAGATTTTTAAAAATTACTAATAAATAATCGCAAGAGGATAATAAAATATAAAATAAAAAAAAAAACATTTAATTTTTATTTCATAATTTTCATTCATATTCTTATATTTCAGTAAATACTAAATAAATTGTAGTGTATTGTAACCACCGCAGTTTGTATTACTGTTGCCATGTAATTTTTTTAAAGACATTTAACATAGTAAGTTTTTACAATATTTTTTACACAAATAGCATATTAAGCAACAATTAGCGTAAACAAATTGGACTGCCTTTTTCCCACGTAAGTAGAAAGCGTAAAACCGAAAGCAGAAGTGCAAGAGAGTCATAGTCAGATATTACTAAATCTCTTGCATTTATGATTTTCTGCTTTAGGTTTACGCTCTTTACTCATATTCTGTAGCACCCTCAGTGGCGGGTCCAGAATTTACTCCAGAGGGGTCATCCTTAGATACGGCGAGCGACGACCATAATTAGCTGACTTTTTTTATGTAAATTTTTCGCCCCAGGGGGGTCATGACCCCCATAACCCTCCCCTTGGGTCCGCCACTGTGCACCTTAATAAGGCATTTACTTGTTCGACTTGTATGAACATGGCGCGTTCATTTTCCTATAGTCGAACGAATGAATAACTTTACTCCATGTCGTTATAACCGGTTATAACTACCTAAAAGCGCAATTTTTGTGTATGAGGGATAAAAAAACACTTAGAAATCATAACGTTCTTAATATCTTAATAGACATTGTGTTATTATATAAATTGGAAATCCTATGTTATAATATGTCAGACATAAGAAGGGAAAATCAACATTAAACTTAAATAAAAAAGTTATAAACAAAGAATGAATAAAATTAAGGAAAATTTTTTAACGTATAATTTGATTGGTCGCAGTAAAATTTTGTATTGTATTTATTGATTTTGGATAAGTGTAAAGAGGGCGGAGTACGGACAAGTACAAGTAACACTATCTAACAATAAGTGTAAAACTGGAACTCTTTTTTGTTCACATTACCAAAAAATCAAATTAATATTGTTTTACTTTTCTTTTCATAAATAAGTTTTGAAGATGTTTAAAGATAAAAATATAAGTTGCGCAAAATTAATTTCCAGAAATGCGACCTCCAGCAAAATTTTACTATCATGTGTTCTAGAGGTTAAGTACCAATAATTAATTATAAATTTTAAATTAATGATTTTGTAAAAAAAAGTCAGTAGGAATATTTTGTTTAAATAATAAATTGTTATGTTTTAATTTATTACACTTATTAATTTTTTTAATTTGAGAGTTATTTCAAAACAATGATTTAAAAATTAAAAACAAAACTCCTATCAAATATAAAAAAGGCTTAGTAGTTGAATTGATAATTTAATGAAAAAAGTTCTCGTTTTTTCTAATTTTAAAAATATTACAATTTTTGTAAACAATATTTTTAGTTTTAATCTTTAATTATTTTTACGTAGATGACATATTATGTTTAAGTTGTTTAAAAATGTTTAAAAAATATGATGTTATTATTTAGAAAACGAGGCTTCGGAGATGAACTTGAATATTTACTCGCATTGATAATACTAATTTTAATTAATAATTTCAATAATTTTTTTATCTTATTTTAAACAAATATTATTGTAAAATAAACTTTAGATTCTGAACTTTAATTTGATATATATTATAAATTCGCTAAAATTATTCAATTACGTTTAAACTTAATTATAAAATATACGTGCTATTTAACTAAAACTCGAAGAAAGATTTATTTATTTCTGATTAAATAGGAAGAACTTTAAATATAAGCATTAGGAGATTATGTAAAGATAGATAAATCTTCGTAGATTATAATAAGTACATTTTTCAAGAAATTAAAACTTGATAGAATATCAATAAAAAATTAATGTAAATATTGAACCTCATGTTGGAGACAAGTGAAGTGGTCAATTTCAGGAAAATCACTCATATAAGACCCTGAACAAATGTCCGCGTGTATATATGTGTGCGTGTGTGGATTCCGTTTTTTGTGAACACGATAACTCGAAGAGGTTTTAACGAATTTGACTAAAAGTTGCTAGTATATTTATCATAATAATATTATCCCGAAATGGATTGACGGACTTTAAAATATAATCAAAAAAAAAATTTTTTTACTTTATTCAAATTTTTTTAAGTCTGTTATGTAAGTTAATATATAATAAAGTATTATTCTTTGCATCAATACGAATCGATTGGTCTATATAAAGTATAAATTGTATGAGAATTTATAGAATTAATCACAATTAAAACCGAAAAATTCGCACTTTTATAAAAATTCATTTCCTTCATTAAAATTATGTTGCTGTATAATAAAATGTTATTCTTTAATTGAAAACAAATAAAAAATCTAATTCTACTTTCTCTAAGTCTAATAAATTAATTTCCAGTAATGGAAATTTGGACTTCTAATTTTTGATTAATTACTATTCTTTTTGAATACTTTTTGAATAAATATTAATGTTTTGAATATGAAATTGGACACAAGTCAGGTATACATGATCAGTAGTGTTATCTGCAACTGAGCTGTCACTTTAGAGTCAGGTGAACTTACCGTAATGTACAGTTGATGCATATGGATGCCTGGACTCTAGAGCACCCGTAGTCCAGAGTACAACTCCTTCTGGAAAACGCAAGAGCTAGTGAACGGAATAGCATCTCACGTTCACCTACTCAGGCGAAAGGAAGATCTTTTCCGGCCAGGAATAGCACACCTCACCAGCTAGAAATTAGATCGAGGGTGAAATGGGAGAGTGAGGTGCTATCGGTTGTCCTCGAGGCAAGCCTCGATTCCGGTGTCCGGTCGACGGTGAACTGAGGTAATTGTCAATGCAAGTACGGTATATAGTTGCCTCTACAAAACAAAAAAAAATTGAAAAACGCGAGACGCAAATGCCAAACGCAAGAAAAATACAACAATATTTCAAAAAATTTGTCTACAATAGCCCCTAAATAAAAGTTAATGGTTTGATCTTAAAAAAATATATAAACTTAGTAAAGCCTTCATAGCACCGGGATAATCAGGATATCCAAGGGACTTCCTAGGAATATCGATTTGTTTTCGGCAATTTGGATATATCCCTGGGATATTCTAGAGATGTCATTGGATATCCAGAAGATATCTCAGGGATATGTAAACCGCCACAAACGAGTAAAAGTTAATAGTTTCATTCTGAATTAAAATATTTTATAAACTTTAACATAAAGATATAAATAGGATTATCTAAAATGATCACTAACTTATTGTTATCGAGGATTGCTTGTCTCAAGGGAACAGTTGATGCGAAGGAAGCACAAATCAATGCTTAGAGTAAAAAATTTGGACAAAGTACAAACGTTTTCAGATGTCTTACAGGAAGAACATCCTGTTAGGGATAGCCGAGTGCCACCTGTTACTGGAACACATAAAAGAACAATACCGAAGAAAAAGTTTACTGTATTTGTCAAGCTTTGTTCGGAGAATGAAGTTGTCTCATCAGATGAGGTTAAAGTCTAGAGCAATTGTAGTAGATACTGAGGCTCAAGAAGATCTGGATAGGACTATTGAAAAACAGGTTGGTGACTGAAGCGAGACCTATCAACTCTGAGACTACTAGGGGTGATAGTATACAAGGATTCTAATGTCCTTACTGAGGCTAGTGGCAAAGAGGTGATGTATGAACAGAATAGTGAATTTCCTTCGATCTGTCAACAGAAGTGTTCTACGAACAAGTTAAATTAGTATTTTAGACGCGACCGAGGAATCAGGACTAATTAATTAGGTAATGGAAGTTTCTCCGAAAATTACGAACATTATGCAAAAGGTTTATATTGAGTCATATCGCTGTAAAGTTAATTATTTCATCTCTATCAGTAGATGATATAAGTGTCAAGGACTTAGCTATATCTCGAAAACTTGTAAGTCGGAAAAAGTAAAGCGGCCCACAATGAAAACAGATATTACTATACATAAAAAATGAATTAACATTAATAAAATAGTAATTTATAAGTCAAAAATACATTTTTTAGGGTTAAACCCGCCATCACCCGACAGAGGTACCCTCAAAACAGTCGCTCTTGTGTTTACTTTCCTATTTTGAATCCCGACTATTTCTTCCCCCCGACTCTTTACCGCGCCGCTTCTATTAATAAGTTTTCTCTAGGGAATACCTCTATTCGGGGTTTCCAGTGTATACTATTTTTTAAAATCCTTGACAAGAAAGTCCCTTTAAATTTTTGATAGACTTAGTGCTAAATAAACTGAAAAATTATGGTTTAGATATTCAAAACTAGCTTTTATTCGACTTTTATTTATATAAAATGTTAAAAAGATCAGATTTAGATTCTATGTACGTATAAAAATCATTACAAACTTGAAAAATATTACAACAATTCACGTTTGCATTTTCCTGAATAAATTCTTCGACTTCCCTTTCTGCATTCTTTAAGAGGCGCGTTAATTATTCCGCCATAAATAGTGTGTACATAACCAGCAACACGGCCAAATGGTTTCAAGCACTTTATTTTTAAAGTTATCAGTTCAACTGTTAAGTAAGTAACATTTTGTTTACATGGAGGCTCTGAAGCACCAAGTTTATAACATCCTCCATCATAAGGTACTAAGCCTTCATCACAAGGATTTGGTTCACATTCGGCAACTTCTTCTCCTTCTGGCAAAACGTAATAATATTCAGGAGCACATGGACCTCGTGTGTACGGGTAGTAACAAGCATCTGTTTCTGGATCATATATCTGCAATTCATCGTCACTGCAATCACAAATTAATGTAGTATAATTCTCATCTGACGGATAGTATATTAATCCTGTTGGACATTGTTCGTCAGGGGGAATCTGAAAAAAAAATGTGTTAAACGTTGCGCAAAACAAAGCAATCTGAATATAAAATTTGGAACTAAAGTTAAGAAAAACAAAAATAAAAACTTTAAATCACTACAAATTTCTAATGCCTCAAGTCCACTTATGATTCATTATTTTATCCTTAAACTCTTTTTTAGGGTTCCGTACACCATAAGTGTACCGACGAAACCCTATTAGTGAGACTCTTGCCTCCGTGGCCAAATTAGTGCCCCCCCCCCCCTAGAGACTAAATTATTTGACCTAGAGAGCTCAAATTTATTACAGATATGTATTTTCATTAGAAAATACATTTTGACCCCTTATTAAACATTTTTCGAACATTTTACATAGCCAAAATTATGAACATTTGAAAAAATTAATTTTTGTGGTTTTTTGGCATTTAATTTGCAATTCATAAAATTCATGAAATGAAAATTTTTATGAAGAACAATCTTCATAAAATTTATTCCCGAAGATTCTCAGGAACAATTGTTGGAGATTTCCGGGAGTAGTTCTAGGAGTTTTTGTATAGTTTTGTAGAAAATCATTTAAGAATACCATAAATCGTCGGTTGGGTGCAGAAAGGTGCCAATTTAGACTAGTCGTGAAGAACGTGCCGTTTTAAAAAACATTTGAGAAAAAAATGAACGTCAATTCTGAGTTGACATGTTTTTCAAATCTCAGCTCAAATGGCAGGTTTCTCAAATGGTTTTTGAAACGGCACGTTTTTTACGACTAGTCTGAATTGGCACCTTTCTGCACCCAACCGACGTAATGTGGCATTCCACTTCAAGTGATCCGGGTCCAAATTTGAAATGTTTGGGATCAGGGTAAAAGTTTGCACAAACAGTAGTCCTATTAGATACAATTAAAAATACGAAATATTATTAATTTACTTAAACAAATATAAAAACTGGAGAGGGTCAAAGTTTAAATTTTTGGTATTACATGGAATATTTGAAAATTTTTTTGTAGTTTCTTTAAAACTAAACGAAAAGATGTTTTCTTTTTTGTGTTTTTGCAGTTTTCAGCACTTTCTAATAGTGTAAACAAATTATTAAAAAAATTTTGAACTTGAAAAATTCAATTAAAAAATAAAATTTCATTTTTTTATCAAATGGACATTTTTTATTTTTTTTAAAAAATTTTTTCATAAAGGTGAGGTTTTTTTCTTACAAAAATGTGTAGGTCAAAACGTGGGTCAAGAACTTTTAACTGGTCATTATAATCATTTACTTCTGCAGTCCACCAACCCTGCCGTTGTTGGGTTGTATAATGTTTATAACAATTAAAATAAATTATGTTATGCTTTATTAATTGTCTGGTGGTCATATTGGATAAATTTGAATTGATTTAGATCATGTGCAGCAACGGAATAAGAAAATAAACGTTCTTTTTTAAAAAAGTGTATTAACTTGTTAACTTTGATTTAAAAAAAATTATAAACAATTAAAATCCCCAAAAAGCGTCCAAAAACATCGCTAAAGAAGTTAAAAGAAATTATCCACATTTAGGGTAGACGCTTCATGACTTTTCGACTGTCCTGGTTTTTTGGTATTCGATTTTTTACAAAAATATTAAAAAACTTCCAGAGTTTACTCCCGGGAAAAATTCCAGGGAGTTGTTTTCGCGAATCTCCCGGAAACTTTTGCACGTGGGCTTTTTATATTTTTAATTGAAAGGTAATTTATGTAAAATGAAAAACATTTTGCATGTGGGTGACTTTCCTGAAAGGGACCACTTTCGATCTTTCAGATTCTGAGGTCAAAATAGCGATTCGATCAACACAAAAATCAATATGGCGGTTATTTTGAAAAAAAAACCAAAAAAAGTTAGTACATTTTTTTAAAATATTTTTTTTCAGATCTAAAAAAATTTTTTTCGCCGATATTTCTGGAAATTATTTTTGTGCAACTTATATTTTATTTCAATTGTATTTTTTTTACTTTTAGATTGTATTGAATAATCACTATATTACTAACTCATTTATTATGTAAACTATACGGTTTATTTTTTTACATAATCCTGTAATTGATCTTACAACTGTTTAATATTAAATCTGAATAAATAAATACATATCTCTGTAAGCTTCTCTTGAGGTTTAAGGTAAGATTCGTAAACTTCAGGTGAAGCTAAAGTAAGATTCAAATGCTCGCTAATAGGAAACTTACATATGAAACTTATGGTATGTTAATTTACATGTATGATTTGAGATAAACTTACATATGGGCAATTCCACGTGAGATTTCAGTCGACCTCTTAGAATCGCCCAAAAATATTTTTTTTCTATTCTGTATTAAAAAAAAACAGATACGTATTTTTTATTACTTTTTTAGAGGCCAAATATTTGAGTTATGAATTTTCAAAATTTTCGTTTTTTAAATGAAGATATATTTTTAATGTCAGATAACTCAAAAAATATTGCTTCTTTTCATTTTTTGACAAGAAAAAAGAGTTTTGTTTTTCTCTCTACTTTTGAATAATCATAACAAAAAAATTTTTTTTTTATTTTTTATTAAAAAAATAAAAAAATTCTATAAACAAATTAATTTTTTTTAACTTTGGGTATGATAAATTTTTAATTTTCTTTTTTTAAAACATACCTGGAAATGATAAGAGGGTTTTGCAAAAAGTTTCAGAGTGGGCCTGACAAGTTTGATGGGTTTAAAAAAATAATTAAGCTGCCCGTGCAGGTCGCTCGCACACAGCATAATGGGATTTTTTTACAATTTACTATTAAAAATTGTCTAGAGCCTACAAATTTTATCGGATTTTGATTATTATTGAATTTGTAGGCTCTAAACAATTTTTAATAATAAATTGTAAAAAAAATCCCATTGTGCCGCGTGCGTGCGACCTGCACGGACAGCTTAATTATTTTTTTGGATTCATCAAACTTGTCAGGCCCACTCTGAAACTTTTTGCAAAACCTTCTTATCATTTCCAGGTATGTTTTTTTAAAAAAATTAAAAATTTATCATACCCAAAGTTAAAAAAAATTAATTTGTTTATAAAAATTTTGTATTTTTTTAATAAAAAATGAAAAAAAAATTTTTTTGTTATGATTATTCAAAAGTAGAGAGAAAAACAAAACTTTTTTTCTCTTGTCAAAAAATGAAAAGAAGCAATATTTTTTGAGTTATCTGACATTAAAAATATACCTACATTTAAAAAGCGAAAATTTTGAAAATTCATAACTCAAAAATTTGACCTCAAAAACAAAGATAAAAAAATACGTATCTGTTTTTTTCAATACAGAATAGAAAAAAAATATTTTTGTCCGATTTTAAGAGGTCGACTGAAATCTCACGTGGAATTGCCCATATGCTAAGTTTGTGATAAGCTTACATGGTAAGTTTGTTGTAAGTTTTCTTTTAAGGATTATGTGATCTTATTGTTTCCACTTTAAGGGCAAAATTAATTTTCTCTATTAAATTTTCCCTTCTCCATTAATATCAACCTTACCACAGCTTTTATATATGTTTACCAAAAGCTTTACATGTAAGCTTACCACATTTTTTATATCTTCACGTCAATATTAAAAATAAATGCAATGTTATTTTTGATCAATTTATTAAAATACTGTTTTAATTTATATATCATAAAGTTTATATAAAAAAGTATTTTGTAAAGTTATAATTTTATAATTTGAATGCAATAAAAGGTGTAATTGTTTAATTTATTACAGGTAATAATAATTATTATATTAAAGGTAGAAGAAGTTAACATAATAATAATTATTATTTGTAATTCAATTTAAAACGCTGCAAAAAACTCATTTGATTCAAGTTGTTATTTATTTTATAATAGACAAGTAATTAAAATAAACGAGCAGTATAAATTAAACGTCAATTTTGAATTATAATTATAAACTTACGAACACTTTTTTTAATATATTCACTTTTCTTAACTGAAATGTCAGTCATTTTCAACAAATGTGTTTAAGACAATTATTTCTTAAATGAATGCAGAATGAATAGATAAGAATGTAAAATATAAAAGTGTAACAATGTTATTTTATTACCAAAATATTGATTTCTGCGACTGAAATAATTGAAAAAATAAAAATTGGTATACAAATTTCAATAATCCAGCGCATATTATATTAAGCACTAGAAATAAACAATTAATAATTCTGCAACTATAAATTTAGAACAACTTTCTTTATCTTAAAAGGATTAGTCAATGAAAGTTCGTAAAAGACTGAGAATCTGATGATTTTATTTTATATTTGTCGATTTTATAAGATGCCAATGTTGCACACCTCTCTTCTTCAAAAATCAAGGTAAACAACATTGCACATTCAAATATAAAATAGAGAATAATGAAATCAATATATAGTACACTAGCATCGGAAATTGTACATCCATTTAGAGCGCGAGTTATTAAAAATATACAGTGAATTTATTTTAAATTGTGTATAAAACAGTTTATAAAATTTTTAATAAAAAGATTAAGATTTTACACTGATTACTCCAATAATTATTCACATAGTTATCATATTGTTATTAGACAAGTAATAATGTAATTTTTTCAAGGTTAAAAAGAGACGCATGCAGTACGTGGTTTGAGAGTCGAACCTAGCTGATCAAAAGTCAAATAGTCGAAATCTTCGAATAGAATTTTTTATGGTTTATTATATAGATATCTATACTGTTTTTGATTTGAAATATTTCAGTGTCTATACACATTGATTTTAATTACAAAAATAATTAATTCTAAACAAATAAATTTAATTTAAAAAATGCTAATGATGAAATAAGTGTGTGTAGAGTTCAACGTTGTGCAATTGAACTGTGTCTAGCTTAAAAAATTTGTTTCTTATTAGAAATGTGTGTGTGCAAATTTTTTTTACTTATACTTGAAAAAAATGTGAATTGAAATAAGTCCAGCAGTAAGGTGATTTAAACTCAGTAAACTATATAATGTTACGTTTGCTTTTGTTTATGAAAGCTCCAATCTTAACAATGAAAAGCATATGGGCAATTCCACGT